TATCATATTTCAGTTTAGACATATGTGAAGGAACTAAAAGTGACAGTAGGCTACAGCTGACTTTAATAATGAGATAATCTTGAAGATCCATGAACATACTTTCAGAACACAGAAATTGAGAATAATGAAAGGAAAGGAATCTTGTGTAAATTGTTAGGAAAAATGTAATTTATAACGAGACTTGGAAATGTAAGACAACTATAAGCATTTTGTAATGTGAAGGTAAGATCGATGATTTGAAAACATTTTTGGAGTAAAAAAGATAACCCTGCTATTATATAGCTTTAAAAAAAATAGAGAAAAGTAACCAAAATCTAGCTGAAGAGCGCTAAAAATATATCAAAAGTGATGACAGCGTTCTGCTCTTTTTTTTAATGTTTATACAACAGGTTAAAGGATACAGAAAACATGTCTTGACATGTGACATTTTTAAAAAGGCACAAACATGAATACCTGGCCCCAGACACTTACTGGCATAATTTGCAAGAAAACGGCATACTCCATGGTGCCCTTTGGGCCCCCACAACCCAAGGTGATCTGCAGGTGCTCAGCATCAAATTTGGTAAAAGAGGAAATCTGCCTACTGCAGGGGACCTGGTTTCAAAGGCTTCCAAGACACAATGTTGCACCTGATTTTCTAGTAAGTTATGCTTCTGCTGTGTTAACAGATTTACTTTATGGAGTAAGTTATAATGGAATTGAAGTAGGGCTGGTAATGATTAAAAATTTTGTGTTCGATTAATCGAAATTTTTTTAAATCGATGAATTGATTAATTTCCATTAATTATAATGCACATACAGATCCAACTACATTGGCCTATACACATAAAGCACAGCAACGAAGTAATACAATTTACTAGGATCACACTAATCCAGCATGTTATTAATCTCACGTGGGGCAACTCAGAATAATAGTTCATTGTCTGCAGTGCCGTCCGTCCGTTTTTTTACTACGGGCGGACGGCAAGAGGTTAAAAAAAAATTAATCGATCTAAAAATTTTTAATCAATCAAAAAGATTAACGATTAATCGAGAAATTAATCGTTAATTTGCACAGCCCTAAATTGAAGTAAGGATAATTGAATTTAATTAGGTTAAGGTATGTTTAATAGAATATTTCACTTACTCTTTGTGAAACTGCCTGCTAAATATTACTACCACAAAGTAATTTTCATATTTCACAACAGCTGCTAGATATCGAATATGCTCAAGTGGAGATTAGTAAAATGTTAACAATCATACAGTTCGAGGTAGTTGCAGTCCAATCCTAATCTATCTGATACAATTTGCTCATCGTGCTAAAAGAAAAACAAATGTATTCAAGAAATGTTAAGGGCCAGTTCATACTAGCCCATCTGCTAAAATGCTGTGTTTTAGTGGTCGGGCTAGGATATTGTGGTAGATAAGCAGTGTGCCTTGTATTGCTGTCACTGTTTATGTTTCTTTTTTTTTTTTTACTTTATGTGGCATGTACATTATGTACACTCTATTCAGGTCCCTGCACAACAGCACCGTGTGCTGTTCTGCTGTGTGGCAACCTGCGGTGGCATACAGTGTGCTGCAAAAATGCAGCATGTTTCCATACTGCAATGCCTATCACACCCATATTGAGGTGTGAACAGGGCACCTAGCGGTGACCTCCGTTGATCCGATGAGGTAAAATGCAGGTCACCGCTATATGTGTGTGAATGGGCCCTTAATTACACAAACATCTAATCAGATTAAATGCATTCCAGGTGCATCAAAACAAAAGGTGTTCAAAGCCTTCCAGTTTGTTTTCTTTAGAAAGCAGCCATAGCCTGAGTAGAAAAGCCTGTCCTCTTCCAGGTGTGACAGTTTGCTCTCCAAAATCATCCTGTGTCACTGTCAAGGATGTTCATGTTTCAGCTGAGCCTCTGTAGGATGAGTCTGCTGTTTTGCGCCTGGGTCCCACACTTGATTCCTGTTCATCTGTATTCTGTACAACCACTTCAGAAATACCCAGACATATGCCCTAGGTCTTTAGCAGCCCAGGTGTTTAGATGCTTATTCTATTCATTCCCCCACTCTGATGTAAGAGGAAGCAGAGTGCCAAGCCCTCTGCTTCCTCTTACATCAGAGGAAGGGGAGAATAAAGTGAGTAATGAATGCAGTCATCCATGCATTATCAACTAGTGTTAAAAGAAGCTGCAGCAGCAGCAACATAAGTAACATTTTTATCCCTTTCACCCTCTCCTGTATGTGTTAGGTACAATCTATCTCTACTCTGATGTATGTACTAACCCTTCCATCTCCCATGTCCTGCACATCTGTACATTAACTGGCATGTTTCTTCATTTCCAAAAAATTGCGGTAAAAAATCAGATCACCTTGGAATGTTGACTTTCCCATAAGGGGTGATTTCAGGGATTTTCACACTGTCCTGACATTTTTATTTGCTATGATTTATAAACAAAAGTAAAAGAAACAGGCTTTTTAAAACTTTTTAACTTTATATTGTAAACATTTTTTTAAAAATTGGTTGTTAAATACCACATAAAGAAAGCTGTATTTGTCCCCATAAAATTATATAAAATTAATTTTGTTACAGTGTTGCATGCAGGAGGAATTCTCAGCCAAACTTGCGCAGAGCTGAAAACTGAAAATCGGCCTGGTAATGAAGGAGGTGCAACATGCTGATACAGAAGTGGTTAAATACTGTAGTTCGGGCTTTCAAGCTAGTATGCTTTTTAGCATTATCTGTTTAAAGGTGCCCATACACTGTACGATTCTCGTACGAGAATCGCGGGAAATCCCGCGATCGTACGAGAATCGTACAGTGTATGGAAGGCGTGCGACCGTTTCTACTGCACGGTCGCACGTCTTCCATCGAACAAGCAGGCTGGAAAAGACTAAGGTCTTGCGATGGTTGTAAAGTGTATGGCCACCTTAAGAAGAAGCTAGTGGATTACTTACCTGTCCATGCTCTGCATTCTGCGCTTGCCTACCTCTGACAGCAACAAAGGAACTGAAGTTAGGTGCAGGGATGAGCTTTCAAACACCTGGTCAGAAGCGTGACACACCCTGGATCTGTGGGTGGGATGCCGGAATTTTCCTAAAATCCCAGGACAATCCTGTGGAATCCATGAGTGTTGGGGGGAATGTCCAAGTGTAACCAAGGGCTGCAAAATGGGAGTTGTCTGCAGCAAACTCTATCATCCCTTGTGGGGTGCTCTGGTATATACCAGGTGGTTCCCTAGACCCTGCACCTTGGCCCTTTTTAGAGCTTACATTCGTCTGGAGACATAGATGAACCACTACCACCATGACACCAACATACTGCAGAAAAGGACCCTTGCTCCCTGTGTGGAAGCAATATGCGCTCTGCAGAACTAAGTTAGAGCAAAGCTCATGCACTCTGCTGATTGGAGAACCCTGACTCAGTGGGGCTGTGTTGGGCTTCTGTAGAGTGACCCCTGCTTCCACACATAGAGCAAGGGTCTTTCAATACAGAATGTTGGCAGGGTACAGGCTTTTTTACTCAGCCTGTGGCTGCTTTCTAATTAAAATAAAACAAAATATAAAACTTTGCATACCTTTTATTTTGAAGTGCTAAAAATATAATCCCCTTTCCTTAAAAAAATGTTGCTCCAATCTCCCTTCTGCACTGGCTACATGATCTGTCTAAAGGGAATGATCACTCAGTCTGAACTCTGAGTCTCCCCTTCACCAGAGTTTACATGACCAAGAATATAGGCCTTCAAACATCTGTGCAGCACTAAAGGGAACCTGGAGAAGTATTTTCACCAGAAAGGTAAGTATTTCAGCCTTCTCATTATTTTTATTTATCTATATTTGCAACACATAAAATAAATAACTTTTTCTTAATATTTAAATATACTTCAGCTCTGCATCAAAGCTTACCTTATCAAACCTTAGAAATTGGGTGATAAAAGTTAAAATGAGTATACCGGCTTTCTGTAACAAGTACACTATAAGCAATATTTCTTGAAAATGACCTTTAACCATTTCAAAGGAGAAGCAGACTGGAAAACTGCACTACATGTCGGTAGTGTTTTATGCTGTATAAATAGTTCTTCAGTTTTGTATTAAAAGAAAAATCAATAAGAGAATTACATGGCTTAGAATAGTAAGCCTATATCTTTCTATAAATACAGACGTGATTGCAGTTGCACCTGGTCTTAGCCTTGGGGCAGGCATGGTGGTACATGTCAAGTCTCCGAACTTTATGCATATTTGTTCCCTATAGGTACATGCTTAGCTTGCTTCCAAGATTCAAATTATAGTGGATAAAAAAGCAGTAGCTTTTCATGCATTTAAGACACATATACAGAGACACCCACACACTTTAATTACTCTTCACGTTCACTATTCTATGAATTATATTTTACATATGCAATCAAATTGTAGTTCTTTGAACACGTGGAAATACATTGCAGCTACACATTTGTCCTGGGAAAAGAAATGCTGGGCCCAATAGCTCATCTAAATCATATAAAAGAGACAGTCTTTTATATGTTCCATTCATTTATAACTGTGGAGCAGGTCATATGCTTCCAATTTGGATTATGTATTAATTGCTAAATTATTCTTGCTAGCAATGTTAGAGTCTCATAAAATGTGTGTTTACACTCATGAAATATACATACACTTACAATACTTGTATAATTCCCTGGAGGATGTGGGATAAAAAGGAAACAGAGAATAAAACACACTACAGCAGTGAAGTTTATTTAAAGTACTTCCTGATATTTTTTTTCTTTAACTTGCTGACTGACCTAGGTCAACAACTGTTATTTAACATGTAGAAAGCGTGGTAAAAATGTACTGTGCCAGACACCTTTTTTTTTAGTCTGGTATACGATAAGTTTGGTTAAAAAAAAAAAATCCTAAAGTAAAAGTTACAGGAGGCAAACAAATAGCACTTAAAAGTACAATGCAGATAAGTAAGAAAAGTAAAAGAAAAGGCTGATAAAATCCTGGCTTAAGACGTTGGAGACATTACCATATGATCTAATGTGGGTGTCAGCCTGGATTGTGTTCATTGAAGGAAACTGTATTCTCTAACAGTGCTTGGGAATAGGAGCAGGAGGGTTTTCACCAAGTGACAGTCGCTCAGCACTGGGTCTACCCCCTCCTCCTCTGCACACCTGTAAGATCCTTTTGTCTGGACTGAATATTTAAATTACATCTCTACTTTGGAAGTTCTTCTTGCAAATCCCAGGATTACAAGGTATGATTTATATGAAATCTGCACTTTGGATATTACTGACAAAACTTTATTCTGTTTTAACTGCAAAAGATAAGCATCATAGTTAACTCTCAGCTGTTGTTTTAAAAGTTCTAACAGTTTTTCAAGTTCAGACATGTGGTGGATGCTAATAACATGCATTTTCCTTAATTATTATTAGTGTTGCTTTGTTAGGTTGTACAATTTGAAGCATAGACTGTGTGCTATAGATCAGTTTGCAGACATGTCAGAATGAATGTAAAGCATTCTGCTGTCTTATAGACACGTGGAAGAATATTCCAGTCATTGCTATGATTTAGTGCAGTTAAACATTGTCCAACGCTGACATACAAGAGCTATATTTCTTTGTTAATGTCCTGTATAATATCATCCAGACTAGTTAACATAGCACATTACACACTAGACTTTCAGTATTGTAAGCTACAGTAGTGTGCTTAAATGTAATTGTCAGTTGTATGTAACTTAATTGTTTAAATACAATACATTTAGCTAATGAGAAGGGTAATTTTGCTTGGCTGTGGTTTGTTGGTATGTTGTTATTTGATTTGTTGAACTAATGTATCAGAATTAATTACACAAACAACATACTCTGGTGCATTTTTCCCATTTAATGTTTTTGTGCATTTGAAATGTTGACATAGTGTTAAAAAGTTTCTTTCAGAATGAAAGTTAAAGTGTGTGAGTTACAGTCTATCTTCTATTTACTTAACTATACCTTAAAATTGTCATGAGTGTTCAGAAAAATGAATGATATTATCTTGTTTTACTATTTCCTGTAAAATGACATGTAGCATTACCACATTGTGGACTACTCATTTCCCTTGCCCTGGAACTATGTTTGCACATAGGATGTGCTACTGAAATATCAAGTAAGTATTTAACAGGAATCATCCCGCCCCTTTAACCATGTTTTAGGACCATTCAGCCATTTTACTCTTAAAATGTGTATATATGCACATATCACAAACTTCAATACAGTCAGTTTTTTTGCTTTGTTTTGCTTATATGTAGCTATATTTATATTAGATACTTGAACTATTTACATGCCTTTTAAAAGGGATCTGTATAAACTCATTATAAAATTAAGACTTTATTCAATTCCATAAATGCTTACAAAAAAATCCAATAACTCTATTGGTGATACGTTAAATGTTTATATACTTTTCTCTAATTTTATAGTAGATGTGTTTGATGACTTTATATCTAAAGGAAATTCAGCACTTAGTTGTGCACTAAAGCTTCAAGCAATCTTAAAAAGAATGAGGTTTACATTTTATCTGGAAAATGTTATTGTTGAAAATTCCAAGTTATTTTCCAGAGATTTGGCAAGTTAGACCTATTCAGCTTATCCAGCGCTTTTATACTAAAACTTTCCATAACCCAATCATACTATTTTAAAACATGTGTGTCATAGCTTTTAAATGAACAGCAGACGTTAGGCCTCAGAAAGCGGTATTTAGTTATTTCTTTTTAAAGACATCACATATGTTTATTATAAGACACATCAAAATAAAATAAAAAAAATTATATATGATGATACTCCTGGGAGAAAATGTAGAATATTGTTACTATGTAGATATGCAAATTTTGTTTCGTGCCGAATGCAAATTTGGACATTCAGATGCATCTGAATTTCCGAATAAAACAACGGATGCAAGCAAATCCGAATTTTGCGGTAACGAAAATTTGGATGCATCCGAATGTCCGAATGCAATTCGTACAGTTGTTATTGGCTAAACAAAAACAGTGCGCACTCCCCCCTAATCCATACCAAGCCTTTTAGGTCTGGTTGGGATTTTAAGGGTGGACTCCATGCAAAAACAAAATAAATTAAAAAAGCGTGGGGGCCCCCCTAATATCTCTTACCAGACACTTCATCTAAGCAGTGGCCCGGCAGAGCTGAAAAGGGGGAGGGCGAGCGCGTGCCCCCTCCCTGCACCATACCAGGCCATTTGTCCTCAACATGGGGTAGGGTCCCTATGTTAGTGAGGACAAGGGCCTCTTCCCCAAAACCCTGGCCCGGTAGCTGTGGGGGTCTGCAGGCAGGGGGGCCAATAGAAATCTGCGTGCCCCTTTGATAAAGGGGCACCCAGAAGCTGCCCCCCACATGAATCAGTAATGGGTAGTTTTTACCCCTACTTATTCACTGAGTAAACAGAAATAGTAAAAAAAAAACACTACACAATTTTTTACAAATTCTTTATTAAAAACAAACAAAAGTACCACTATGTCAATCCAGTGTCGATCACGTCGTCCAGGCATGTAAGTCGTCCCAATCCTGGAATCCCGACGTCCACCAACCCAACGAATAAGAAAAATACCCGCTGCTCGCCGCACAATGGAATGTTTACATTTGGCCGTGGTTGATAAAAAAACAAAGCCTGCTATTAGCTATTTCAAAATTAAATATCCAATAGCAGACTGGCTATTGCACTTGCCCACTACCTTCTGTCAATTCGCAGAGGAGGACCTGAGTGAGAACTTTCTCTCTCAGGTGCGCCCTTTGCCGATTGACAGCAGGCAGTGGGTGGCAGCAATAGCCAGCCTGCTATTGGCTATTTCAAATTTCAATAGGCAGTAGCAGTCTGGCTATTGCTCTGCCCACTGCCTTCTGTCAATCAGCAGAGGAGCAGACCTCAGAGAGAACTTTCTTTCTGAGGCCCACTCCTCTGCGGGAGCAATATTCAATAGCCATCCTACTATTGGCTATTTAAAATTGCAATAGCAGGATGGCTATTGCTTCACCCACTGCCTTCTGTCAATCAGCAAAAGTGCAAACCTGAGGGAGAACTTTGTCTTTCAGGTTCGCCACTCTGCTGAGAAAGTTCTCTCTCAGGTTGATCCTCTACTGATTGCCAGAAGACAGTGGGTGGAGCAATAGCCAGCCTGCTACTGGCTATTGAAAATTTCAATAGCAGGATGGCTATTGCTCCTGCAGAGGAGCTGACCACCTGAGAGAGAAAGTTCAGGCTTTGTTTATTTATTGCTGCCACCCACTGCCTGCTGTCAAACCGTGGAGGAGTGGACCAAAGAGAGAAAGTTATTTCTCAGGCGTAATGCTCTGCTGATTGACAGCTGGCAGTGGGCAGTTGCAATTGCCAGCCTGCTATTGGCTATTTCAAATTTCAATAGCATGGTGGCTATTGCTCCTGCAGAGGAGCTGACTAACCGAGAGAGAAAATTCAGGCTTTGTTTATTTATCATATTTTTTTTTTGTCGGGCCAGCGGGCATTGAGATTCCAGGATAAGGATGATTTACATCGCTGGATGAATTTACATTATTGGACTTTTTTTAGTTTTTGCCTTTAATAGATGATTTGTTAAAAAAAAAAAAATGTGTAGCATTCGTATTTACTCTTTCTGTTTACTTAGTGAATGAGTAGGGGTAACAACTACCCCTTACTCATTCACTTAGGGGGGTGGCATCTGGGTGCCCCCTTTATTAAAGTGGGCACCAAGATTCCTATAAGCCCCCCTGCCTGCAGATCCCCACGACCACAGGGCCAGGGTTATATGGAAGAGGCCCTTGTCCTGATCAACATGGGACCCTACCCCATGTTGAGGGCAAGTGGCCTGGTATGATGCAGGGAGGGAGGGTCACAGGATCACCCCCCACCCCTTTCCTGCTGTGCCGGGCCACTGCTCGGATCAACGGTCTAGTAAGGGATGTCTGAAATGAAAAAATTAAAATTGTTCGTACAGAATCGTGGATGGATATGAATATCACAAAAATTAAACAAAACAAAATTCGAATTGACCCTAAGCGAAACTAATTTTTTGCCAGCTTACATGTCTATTACTATGTTTTGACAGTTTTCTCAAGTCAGATTATTATATTTTGCTGAATTTACGGGTCTTCCTGTTTTGTTTCAGCTATTTTGCCTGATTTACAGCTTACTGGCGTTGCTAGGTAACATACCTTCTTAAACATAGACAGCTTAGTGTTTGAAGCTTGCCATAGGCATGTGAATACATTTTGATCACTGATTGTTCACAGGAAAGGAAGTGGTAATAGTGCTTCCTGTTTATGCTGTTTATTTAAGATTTGAAACTAGTACTCATACATGTTGGCTGCTTTCAATAGATTCCATATGATCATCCTCCTGGAACTGTCATCTCTCTCTCTCTCTCTCTCTCTCTCTCTCTCTCTCTCTCTCTCTCTCTCTCTCTCTCTCTCTCTTTTTTTTTTTTAT